GTTATATGGATTGTCTAAAGGCAGGACACACTTAAAAGCACACACGTGAACACAAGTAGACAATCTTAGACAGATTACTGCATGTTTCTATGATTATAGCTGCAACACAGACAGACGCGTGCACACATGTGATGTAGTCCATATGGCGTGTGCAGCGGGTAGGCAGGCGGTCAGAAAGAGGGGTATTGAGGTTTAGGGCCTGGCGTGGCCTTAAGCCACTTGGGCCTAACAGGATTAGGAGGCAGGGTTACTGCAGGGCATGCTGCCGGTGGGACCAGGTTTCCTTTTCAAGGGAAGAGAGACGCACTACACACTCTGCTCTTACGCACTCTCTACACTTTAAACTGACTCACGGTGGCAAATCACCACTTTCCAATCTCAGGTTGATTTTGGCTGCGGTGGGCAGTCTTGTCCGTTCTGCAGTGGCAGCTGCTCTGGCAGGTAACCAAACACTGAAGTTCATTTCTATGCATTTGGAAGCACGGGGGGTTGAAGCTTTCACAGGTCTTAGCTGCAGGTGTGCGCTGGGGATGGATCTTGCAACATTATCCAATCACTACGTCACAGTAGAGCGCACATGCTGCATAAAATCAAATCTAACTTTGTCCCAGTGATTAAATGAAGGCTGTGGTTTTCCCTGCTGAGCTACACGGGATGTTTTCAAACCGTAAAATCATTTTGCAAAAATAAAACTTGGATTTAGATGTTCACCAAATAAGGAAACTGAAGCCACAGTTTATGGTTTCCATCGAGGCTTTTGTTTTTTAAAACAGAAATCAATGAGTTGATTGTGCTTACATGTGATTTATTTGTGAAAGACGTCAGAGTGGTGTCAGCCTTTCTACAGCTGTTTGAAAAGAACCACAAAACAGCTCCTTGGGGAGGGAAGACTGTGATGAACTGTGATGAACATTAACATTAATTTTGCCTTTTTGCATTAAAATTGTTATGAATATACCAGCATATCAGTCGAATATCCCGATCAGGCAACAATGGCAACTGAGGTGGAATTAATTAACGTTCACTCAGGTTTCTCTGCTGTGTCGCATAAATTTTCAGCTTACTAAACGTTCAAAAACTGTATGATGAGGAGCCGAAAGACTTTAAAACAGGTCGCAAACATGTCTCTGTTTGCCTGGAAGGGGCAATAACAATAACTGAAACAAAAGCTTTAAAAAGGTGGCGCACGCACACGCCATCTCTGTACCCAGGAACACAGTACAGTGGGCTGAGAGGCTTATTGTGTCTCTAATAGAGTGCACGAATCTCATCTTGTTACAGAGTGCTGATTGCTAAGGATCTGTCTGCAGCACCAATACACCCCCCACACCCGACTCACACACTCACTGCATGGGTGAATGGTACTCACGTCTGAGGAAGCGGTTGCGGACCCATTTATTCTGTTTGCGGGCGTAACGCCTTGTAGCTATCTTCAAAGCTTCTATACCTGAGTGAGTGAAAAACAAGCTGGTCGTTGGATGAAGCACAAAATGAAGGGAGGACAAAAAAAACAAACAAAAAACAAAACCTGATTGTTGTGGTTGATCAGCAGTCCACCAGCCAGTGCATCCAACTCCATCTGAGTGACTTTGATCAGGTGTTTCTCTAACCTTTGTCTCGTAGAGAGTCTTTCTCCTGCTGGGTGCTGCTTTCCGGAGCCGTCAGGTAGTCGTGAAACTCCTTAAAACCGATCGACTGGAAAATCCCATGTTGATAGTCTTGACTGAGAGGAGAGGAGAGGAGGAAACATTATCCATCAACATAAAAGCTTTCGGCCTTCAACTTGACATTTATACACTCGCTGGTGACTCATTTCATCCTTTCCTCCTCCATCTCTCTGTCGCTTCCTAAACTCTTAGCGAACAGATGTGAAGCCCTTCAAGAGAGAAAGTGACAGAATGACACGAGCAGACGGAGGGACCCATGGCTACTAAAAATCCAGTATGGTGACCAGGGCTCACACAAGGCTGGGGCAGAATCCTCTGGTGAACTTGCCAGACGGAGCATTTTAGTAAATGTCAGAGCACACCACCCCAATTTGAGCACTGCAGCCAGTTCAAGGCTAAACCAGGCTTTTCCAGGTGCTAGCAGTAGCAGAATAACTGCTGTGACAATATCTGTAAAATACATTCTCATCTGATTATTTTCCAGTTTTCCTTTATTTAGACAAGGCAGCCTGAAACTGACCGGAAATACTTTAGCTTTTGTAAAGCAGTACAAAATAGGCCGCCGATTGTAGTGTGAGGGGATGAATTTGTGCCTGTCTGAACAAAACGGTGATGTGTCAAACTTTTATGACCTTGTTTTTGTGATAATCAGAAATCCTATAGAAAATAGAAAACATTCCCTGAGACATCCCTCCAGCTTCAATACATAATCAAGAAGTGCAAACAAGTGGAGTGGAGCTTTATGCTTCACTGCAGGACAAATTCTTGATACGAAGTGATGACGGAGTTGCCAAGTATGAAACAAATGTCTGATTATTGCTTAGAAATGCTCCATATGTGCAGTCTGGGCTTAGATTCTAGCAAATCCACATAGCGAAAGAGCATCCTACTTTGGCGACTACCTGTTATGGGAATTTTCACCTTCACTAGCTGATGTCTGAAGATGTAAGAAGTGCTTAACTGAGTATCCACCCATATTTGTACCAGATTAGGTCTATAAGATATCAGAACTAATAACTGAATAATAACATTTTGCACTTTGTGTCCTTTTACTTGTTATTTGCAGGTAAGGTTTCTACATTGAAATGCAAATAAGATATCTTTATAATAAAAGACACACACACACACACACACACACACACACACACACACA